GTGGACATGCCTACTTAAAACGAAAGAGAATCAGTCTATTGCGTGTAACCAAGGCCATTCGGGCTGCAGTATTCCCTCCCTGTAGCCTGATTTCCTCAGATTCAGGAGCTAAGCAGGGCTGGGTCTTGTCAGTACTGGAATGGGAGGTCTCGGAGGAAAACCAGGTTGCTGCTATAAACGGGTGATGGTGACTGGTGACCAGTAGGTGGTGCTCAGATGAGAATTTAATAACTGGTGACTGGGGCGACTAAGGTGCTGACTATTCGGTTATTAAAGGTAAATTCCATTCTTGATTTGAATAATCTGGTTTCCCCCAAATCCCCTGCCTAACTGAACCGGCAGAGTCGTTCCACCCTTCTCCACTTGATCCGCTGTACAGTGGTGCATTTTGTGCATGATGGCTGTCAAACATTACCAAGGACCAGGAGGGGCTGCAGCTCAATGATTGATTAAGTGGATATGAAATTAGGAACTCTAATGTTGGAAAACGCTATAGAAATGCAAAGAATGATTATTATTATTGTTGTTATTATTATTATAATAGACGGCAGCGGAGCATGCTGGGAAGAGGGAAGACGCGTACCATGTCTTACCATAAAGGAGTAACAAGGTGCTATGCAGGAAAAAAAGTTAAAGCTTCTTTAATTTCTTGAATTAGTAAAGCTTTAATCTTAATTCTGGGGCATCCCTATGCTATTAATGTGGCAGGAAAAGGTACCTGTGTAAAGGCCTGTATAGGGAGGGGTGTTATTGATCCCGGGAGTCAAGAGGACCACGAACAGCTCCCCAAAAGCAGGAGAAGGAAGATTACTAGCACCGAGACCTTTCGGGCTTGAAACTTGCTATGAGTTATGAAATATGATTTAAAAAGCCATTTTAAATTTTACATATATCCCATGTCGCCAGGGATCATATTAAAATAAAAGCAAACAATCCCTGTGTTCCACGCACATAAATGGCGCTGAACTGCATATTTATGCTTAAACTAGATCTCGGTGATAGCTCCATATTTGTTTTCGTTGTATTTTAAGTGGTTTTAATACATTTGTAGGCTTCAAAAATCTATCCATCCGTTTTCAATGATCGTTTAATGCAAGGAAGGGTTTAGCCAGAGCACGTTCACAGGGAACAGTTCAGAGAAGCCAGTTAATCTCAACTTTTTGCCTTTGGACTATGGGAGGAAACTAGAGCCAGCACAGAAATCAAAGATGTCCCTGACAGAACATGCACCAAGGTGTGCGCGAGGACTCTGCACAAAGGGTAACCCCGGCAGAAATCCGACCAAGAACTCAAGAACTGTTAGCAGTACCTTCGATTAAATACTAAACACATTTGATAAGCACAAATAGATGCTGTGGTGCATTGTGTACTTACAGATATTATACACAGCTACACTTATTAACTTGTATTTGCATGATGATAGAATAGAGACAACTGCATATCTATAATTAAAAAATACCTGGCCAACACGCACACGTTTAACTTCCTATCATCACGAGGGATTCCCAGAAACTCATTTTATTTTACTGTTCTACAGCCCATTCTGCAGAAATAAATCTCCAAACGCAGTGTAAACAGATCCCAAATCGAATAGGTTTGTATTTGTAGAATTAGAATGTAAAACGATTTACAAATCACATTAATTCATAACAAATTTAAATCCTGAAAGGTGTCTGTGCCAATAGTCTCCCTTCATTTGAGTCTTGGGTAGAGTGAACCTGTTGACCGACCTGGTAGATTCACCTCTTGCGTGAGCCACTTGGTTAATAGATAAAGCCACTTACTTTGTGAGGACGCCCCTGTCTTCTGTCAGGAACGACTGTCTGTGAAGGGTCATTTTCAAATGATATTCCCACGAAAACATTTTTTTTCTAACGCATCTATGTCGTATGTAGAATATCAGTTTTTGGATGAAATGCACTAGAAAGTTTGGTGTTCAAACAAGATCAACGGGGTTCTAAATAAAAATCTGACTTTAAGTGGGGAATCTAGTTCGTTATATCGGGCTGTTATTGGATGTTGTTTCTGAAATAGGTTAAAAATGACCATTTATCGGATCATGTGGAGGTTAATTACTGAGTGGAATCGATGTAAATCAAGAAATATGCAATTCTGTTCATCCAATACTGTTTTTTCTACAGACATTTTAATTAAAAACATGATGGTATTATTTTTGAACGCCCCCAAAATCTTTATAGAAAACGAATTAACATATGTAAATTAATCTCTAGACATCGGGGATTAATATTTGTGAGACGCCTTTTAATTAATTAGTTATTCCGCTTAATTAGTAATTAATGTCTGAAATGCTATTAGTAGATGCAATTTTAATTGAATACCTCATAAGTTGCATTTTTGTTCAGTAGTAAACAAAATACAGAAAGGCGGTGCGAGGACAATACTGAAATTACTTGAATTAGTGTTTCTTTTATTTCTGTTCTTCATGATTTAAAAGCACAATATATATTTCTGGGGCGGGTGGGTTGAAAATATTCCGGAAAAAAATAACCTATTGAAATCGTTAAAATGTTTTGTTTTGTTTTGTTTTGTTTTGGGGGGGTTAAACAGACATTACACTAGCCGGCATTTCTTCGAATGGGTCAACTGTCACTTCTGCTTGCTTGATTTAAAAGGACAAGATTAACGTATTTTTTCGGTCTATACAGCTACAATATGATCCTTTATACCGATATCTACGCCAGGAGGTGTGATTTGTCATCTTGCTTAACGGAAAATTGACCTATCAAGAAACTTAACATTTAAATTTATTTTTTTATGTCGAGGGAGATAGGAAATAGCACTCCATATTGCCTTTGCTCAAGCATTAATAATACAAAGATAATTTGATATTCAAATCCAGCAGAGACCCGTTCTAAACTACTCCAAATTAAGCTGATTTGTCGCAAAATGAGGGCTTTATCCTACAGATAAGAGCTTCTTTTACGAGCTGATGAGGCGGGGATTATAGTCCTGGAAAAAAAATGTACAGAGACTGGATACTATGTGTGAGGTTCAACCAGTGAAAGTAAAGACTCTCACAATTCTTATTGATTTTTACTTTACATGTGTTGTTTCATTAAAGAGTTTGACTCTATCTGCAAAAAAAAAACTCTCTCCTTGCTTTCCGGAGAGCCAGAGAAAAGCTCCTGGTCTTGACAATTAAAACAGAAGAGATGTTGATCTCCATCTGCTCGCGTCCCCTTGGACAAGATTCCTGTCGATACTCTATTTGTACGTTAGCAGTCCTTGTTCTACTGCAAAATCCGTATATTTATATAATATGAAACAGCTTAATATCCTTTAAAGTCAAGTTCATGTTTCAGCTTTACCATGAATCTTGTATTTAAGTTCACCAAATGAAATGTACCTCAATCAGACATTTTTAGCAATAATCTGATCATGCCATCAAAATATTAAATATAATCTGTTTTCCCTATCCAAAATAAGCGATTTTATATCGAAAGAAAATACCAGTAAAGCATTTGAAGAGAATAACTGTTTCGGTTTCCACTAACGGATTAGAATCTAAAATGGGGGAAAAAATTCATTAACAAAAATATGAATAGGAACTACGCAAGCGTGATATATTAATTATGCAACACACAGGCTCTAAAAATATATAATATTATCAAATCACGTTTATCATGACTGATGCATAATAAACGTCATGCGGAATATCGAACGTATGGTAAAGTACTTTTTTTCAAGATACGCCAACGTATTAAAACGGTGAATCAGATATCTTAAATATTTCCAAGAAGTTACATCACTACCAACCTCGAAGCTACAGCACTAACCTGCCGAATGTTTAAAAAACACAAAAATTGCTATTTTCAAAATATGCCTTGTTGATGTTTTTTTCTTGCAATGCAAAACCTATATAAGTAATATAAGTTGGTCGGACCAGTACAACGAATTCTCCGATAAATCTGGGTGCTCTTGCTTGGAAGCTACGGTGTTAGTCTCGATTTGCTGTCCTGTTTCCGCGGCGCTTGGCTTAGCTGTTTAGCTCTGCAGCGTGGGGGCGATTATAAATACTTCTGTCATCACTCGGTCATGAAAACGAAAATTTCGTTTACTGTGTTAATCATAACTCTCATTTTATATATATATACTATATAGCTTCTTTTCACGTGCAATATAGTGATACAATTAGCTGTTAACAGCGGTAAGGACCCAGAAATCTGTTTTAAGCTACCAGCTGTCATTTTTGGAAGGACTTTGATTTTATGCTCGTGGTTCTATTCAGGGGCATCTGGAGATCAATTATCTATTTATCTGAAGCAGAAATACGGAAAGAAGGATTATGCTAGAAAACAAATAGGCTGTAGAGATTTTCGGGACATCGGTTTTGCACTTGACTCAACCCTTCATTTAACGCGTTAAAAAGGTTGATAGATATCTCGTAGATCTAGACCTTAGAATTAGATATTTTTTGTGTTTTACACAGTCTTGCGGCCTGTATCTTGCAGCCATGGTCTCACTCTGACAGACCTGCTATAGAATTGATCAAAACAGGCATTTAACACGCATTTCCAAATGTATTTACTTACACGCTATATACTGCAATTGCTAACGTCTACAAGCTAATATACAATACTATACAGGTGGTTGTTATGGTGTCACATATCCCCTAGTATAGTCGAACTCGAAGTAAAACGAAATATAATCAGTGTGAACACCACAACTGAATTTTGAACTAATTCCTTGGGCTAACCCTCCGTCAATTTAAAAGCGCTCACTGCATACTGAGGGCTCTCCTCTGCAGATATTACTTTTACGAAAGCGTCAGATGTCCTGTGGCACTTGAACAAGCAACGAACTCCGTAGTGTTTGTTAATACTTTCAGCGGTAGAAAAACACAGGTTTCGGTCGTGACGAGAAAGTATTTCCCTGAAATTCCTAATTACTTCCTTGATGCTGATTGGCTGCTCAGCCCTGACCCCTGTTGGGATGGACCTGTTGGATAAAAAGGGAATTTCTAGAGGGGATGATGAACATTGCACAGCGGCGCGTGCACTGGGGACCAAACTTGGGGGAGAGAGAGAGAGAGAAAGAAAAAAAATAGTCAGGGAATACAGTCGAAGAAATCATGACAGGGAAAGAAGGGTCAGTGTTGTCGGAGAGTTTAAACAAGCCCAAAGCGGCATCCCCCGCTGACAATGTGGGGACAAACAACCACCAACCATCAAAGACAAATTCCTCCACCGCTCCCAGATGTACGGGATTCGGGATCCAGGAAATTCTGGGGCTCAATAAAGAGCCGCCCTCCACCCCCAGGACCGCCCTGGAGTCTCTGCCGGCTGGAGCGCACTTGCTTGCCGCCAGGTCGGTGCTGGGTCCCGCCGGAGTTGGGATGGGATTAATTGGAGCTGGAGGAATCCCTTCATTTTACAGCCAGCCTGCCTTTTTAGAGGTCCTGTCAGACGCACAAAATGTCCACCTGCAACCCATTAACCGGACGATTGGACCCTTGGACGCAAGCCAGACCGCTAGCTCAGGTATAGGAGAACGTTGGGCATCGTGGAAATCTGCAAATGAAAACCGAAATGCATTGAATATGTTTGGTTTAATTCATATGTTTATGTCTAGCTATTGCCAGAAATATTTAGCGTATGTGTCGAAGTCTCGACCGTCGGAATTTTGAATAGAAGAACTTTTTTTTCATTCTTTTATTGAGTGGTATTTCAATTTTCTAGCCCTCACTGTTCTTTTTTTTCGGACTTCTGGTCGCTGTGTATCAAAAGCGACAGTTTCAAAAAAATACGCGTACGGTGTCAATAAAAATAAAATTATACAAATGGAAGTCTTGAAAGAGTTAATCATACAAGTCAAAGTTACATACCGAGATCCAATGATTCACTTTGTGGCCCCGTGTGAGTCTGTATTCAATACTATTTGTATCTACCATCATCGAATCAAAACCAGATTATAAATCAAAACATTATGAATGCTGCAAGTTGCTGTCGTTTTCGGGGTTTATTAATACTATGTTCCCCTTCAATCTTTAAACATGATTTGATTATACTCACAATTGGTGGTTTTTAAAGCACCGTGTATAAATATTAACACATGCCTTAACACTCGGGCATTTTACCATAATAAAATTACTTAATTAAATTATTAATGAAAATGACTAATAATATGTTGTTATGTTTTGAAAATTAGCAATTAAAACCATCCAAGGTTTATAAAAGCTTTTCAAATATAATGTGATAAAATTTTGCTTCCACTAGACTCTCGTGAAATTTCAAATGAGTTAACACGTATTATTTTTTAAAAGATATGAGTAGCTTTTACTTTCTTAAATTAACATTTTTATTTTATGCCAGGTGCCATTTAGTTTAGAAACAGTATTTAAAAAAGTTTTATATGAAACCTATTAGAAAAAGCGAACTGGTCTTTTTGTTGTTGTTTTTTTTAAAATAATAAGATCTGTTTTTTTTAATAATTAGAATAAGATTATTTTTTTTTCAGATTCCGAAGATGTTTCTTCAAGTGAAAGGAAAGTTTCTAAATCCTCGTTGAGTCAGAGCAAGAAAAGGAAGAAAAGGCGACACCGGTAAAAAGATTATTTCATCTATGGAACACCGCTGTTATTATTATTATTATTATTATTATTATTATTATTATTATTATTATTGTTGTTGTTGTTGTTGTTGATGATGTAGGAAAAAATAATTATAGAAAAACTTTGGTTAAGAAAATGTTAAATATTACACAACTCAATATCCATCTGAGGTAATGCAGTTTTGTAGTGTCTTCTAAAACCAACAAAAAACAACAAATGTTTAGTACCAAAAATGACAAAAAGATCAGCTCCTTAACATGAAATGAGAAATTGCTTGTCCGCTCACTTGTTTAGCTGATCTCGATGTTATGCTCTGCGTGCGTTAACAGTTCCCGTGATCCGCTCTTCTTTAGTAGAAGAAGAGGAAATAATCCGGAAACCTTTTCATCTGCTTAGATTCTAAGTGAGATGGAAATGTTTGGATTTGATTAAATCTGTATATTTGGGGCTATCGGTGCATATACTGCAGTGCATGTCAGGTCTGTTATCATCATGAAATATATAACATTAAAAAAACAAAACGGGTGGATGGGGAGCTTTCCTTAGACCTGGAAAAACGAGATTGCGGGGGAAAAGGAAAAAGAGGTAATTCCCTTGTAGACAGGAGATATACATACTCCACGAGTTTTTATACTAATACTAATTCATTTGATTGTGATCGCGATTACCACTGCAATTAACACTTTTAAAATGGGCGGTTATAGTTATGTAAATATGACGTGGGAAATAATTTATCTTTCAAGTAGCACTCTGTTGCTTTTACTCTGTAAATATGGGGTTGCGGTTTAATGTTATATTTGATTCCAGATAAAAAGGGAGGTATCGGTAATAATCTGTTTCTTCTTTATGGAGCCGTCTCGTGCTTGTTGAGTGTTGTATTTATATTCCCTTCGATTACCCAGACGACTGTGATAGAAACGGTGATACAGGCTATATAAGCTTTTATTCAATTTCCAATGATTTGTTCAATTGCCAATTTTGTCTAAATGGAACAAAATCTTTGCGCTGTTTGATTAGTTAGATTTAGTTACATTGACTAATGCAATGGGCTAGCGATACCGAGATAATACATTTGGCAGTGGAGCGTTTTAGGGGTGTTCATCTCAATTGCATAAGGCACTGATAATAATCAAACTACATCTATATGTTTCTTCCTTACGTCGAACATATTGCAATTACATCGAATAACAAAGAAAAACATGCAGGCTATTTTCTATATTCCTTCAGATCCATTCCATTGGACATTATAATGATAACATCTCGCACAATTTCAATTTGAAGGGCTCCTTTAAAAAACTGCAAAGATTGTCGATAACGTGGAGCGTGAATTAAAGAAATCGAACAAGATGATTTGATCGTTACACAATAATTTTAGGACATAGCGTGCGATTATCAGTATCGGGTATTTTGAACATTCGAACATTTTACGCCTTAAGAACATGGAACAGCTGCCTTCACAAACCGTTGGCAGGCTAATAACAGACTTTGCCCGAAATTGAAACTCATAATAAAATCCTGCGTGGCTCTGGGGCCACAAATCAGACAGGTACCGACCTTGTCGTATTTAGCTTTGCCAGCGCAACGGAATCGAAAACTGTTCGGGCGAATTAAATTTTTAAAAAATCACTCTGCTCCCCCTCTCACCTTTCAGCAGAACAAACATAGACCCGCCTTAAAAATAATAAACGTACCACCAACCTGTGGTGAGACAACTCATTTCAGTGTTTTTAATACTCAATTTATTTCATATTTTGTAGATTTTTGTAGAATATTTTGTAGAATTAAAACTATTCGTTTTTAATATTTATTATAAAAACAAATTATCGAAATATTTTTCCACCTCCATATTTTTTCGAAGCACTAATTATCCTCCCTCTTTAATATTATTTACAGAATATACGTCCTCGAGTGTAAATTCAGGAAACACATTTATATAAATACGGAAATATTACAACCACAAACTGACTGCGCAGGCTAGGTGAAACAGAAACCAAAGAACTAACTTTAAAGCAGTATACAGATAACGTGGGGACAGAGTAGCCCAATAGTGTGTGAGAATCGAAATCATTAGTGCTGTATAATTTAGGAGTTACTGAACAACAAAAGACGGGAGTTGCGAAATGCTCGGTAATTTTTTTTTTTCAGTAAATCTGTTCAGCAAAAATGACCAGTGCAAGAGCAAAACATTTGAAAATACTAAAAATGAATGATGAATCCTTTATTTCGAATTTTTGTGGCATGTTGATTAAGCAAGAGAAATTAGAAGAGGGGCTTTATCACCAAGGAAACAATGAGTTGAGAAATGAAATCCTAGAAATCTTCATTCACCCAGTGGGTGCATTAAATATGACTGATATCCAGGGGATTATATACAAAAAATATATCAAGCCAAGGCTAATGTCTGATTAATCCAACTTCAGTCATCTAGGCCATTTAATTCAAATTCAATCAGTTGTTCTGGGTAATACGGAAAGCTATATGAATTCCAGCTTGAACTACTATTATCTAGTCATGTTTCTGGAACTTGTATTACTTCGGTTTTTTGTGTTGCTTGCTGTTCAGTAATTTACCTCATTTAATCTGGCCAGATGAACCATAGATACCGGTTGGTAATGATTGGTAAAGGGTAACGATTCCTGACTTTCCACATGGAGAGTGGGGACATGATGCCGAGAGTCTGGCTGGAGGCCGAGCGTGAAAGTGCAAGTGAAGGGCAGCAGATCTTGCACAGGCTGACAGGTAACAGCTGAACAGTCCCCACTACAGGCAACCAGTGGAGACCAGGCTGTGCTCTGGACGTGCAAGACTGTGAGGCTGTCCGCACGCCCACACAGCAGTGAGCAGAGTTAATACCTGATGATTTTTTCTTTCCTCAGAGGAAACTCATAGCTTTCTTCAATTTCTAACAACAAACCGGAGCAAGTCCCTGTCCCATAGTGCTTTGGCTCTATTTAAGGTTGGCGGTTTTCTGAGAGACTGGCAGCCTTTTCTGGTGCACCTGTGCAAGTGGAGGCAACAAGTGGCGATTGGCTTTCAGTCTCTTTTCCTAATCATTTGATTTCCTTCCTGTAGTACAATCTTCACCTCTTACCAGTTGGAGGAATTGGAGAAAGCCTTTAACGAAGCCCACTATCCGGATGTGTATGCCAGGGAGATGCTGGCCATGAAGACAGAGCTACCCGAGGACAGAATACAGGTAGAGAAATGATTGACCGTTTGTCTTTCTGAGGACGTCTGCTGCCTGTTTCACTTGTCCAGCAGGACACAGCAGTCTTGGTTCAGATGCTATCTTGATAACCCACCCCTGATTCCGGCTTGTATCTCTGGTCCTCTCTTGATACTCCTCAGCTGGGTTTCTGCCAATAACAAGGATAAAGTTGTTTTCATTTCTCTTTCATTACTATTTATTACCTACCCTTTTCAGATCACCGAGTAGGATATTATTACTGTAGAGTAGAGGTATTTATTGTCATATGTACAAGTACATTGGCATTCTTATTCCAATATCCGATTTCTCAGGACATACAGTACACAGTACCACAGACAACACCACACAATGTAGACAGTACATTACACCAAATAATAAAACCAGAACAATAAATACGTGGTAGTGAAATTAAACATGGTTGACGACACAAAAAGTGCGTAGTGCAGACATGCATTGAGTCTGAACCACCGAAGTGAGCTGTTAGTTCACTTCAGTGAAAAAATAGCTTTTTCTTATTTTTTTGTCATACAAAAAAAATGTCATACATCCCCATCGAGCTTGGAGGAGGTGAGATGTGGAGGTATGTTCACGCTGCACAGAGCTCCTTGACGGAGCTTCTGAGCACCGTGAGCAAATAGCTCACTTCATGTTTCCTCACAACATAAAGAAGGTCTTTCGGTGGGTGTTTCGGAAGCCCTTTTCGGGAGAACAGGCATTGTTAGTGGAAATCAAACCGAAGAAAAGCTAGAGCAGTAAAATATGATAAGAAAACGAAAAAATGCGCTGCTGTCCCTCTAGGTTCTCTGCTACAGTCTTCAGCAACGTGTAAAGAAAAACATTTTCATGTACCTCATCTGTGCCGTACAAAGTAGCACAACCTGTTTTGTAAAATGTAATAAACGTTAGGGAGAAAGCCTCCAGCGTAGGTTGGAGAGTAGGATCAGTAGCTGTAATGAATTAGGGGTATGAATACGATTTAGCTCTTACTCCAATCCCAAAGACGCAAGAGACTGAATTGCTTTACGGCTCTTCATTGGGCGATTTGTGCATATGAAGCCAGAAGCAGGAGCACAGGTGTTAGGTACCAATGTTAGGTCTTGTCAACGTAAAATGATACCAGCTATCCGGAGCTGCTAACTTTCAACTGGCAAAAAGGCCATTTCAAGTTATGACAGTTGTAGTTATGAGCTGTGTGTCGTGTGTGTAATTTATGCCATAAAGGTTATTTCCAAAAGACAACAGTATTCATTGGATCAATGAGACGAGGGAAATTCTAAAATGATGAGAAATACATTGCATTAATTATTTTGAGGTGAATTAATTCTGCTAGTGGTCCGGTTTTTGCGTCGAGAATTATACTTTAGAAAGGACAGTCTTTATGATGATAAGTAAGGCTTATGATAATAATGAGAAGAATATTTGCAAGTTGACCGTTAACCGTTAACGTTTCAATTTCAACGTCTTACTAAAAACACAAAATGACTAAGACCTCCAACAACGCACCGTAAAAATTCAAACTCTTTATGTATCACCCCAAAATTAATTGGTCGGACGTGCGAAAAGGAAATAATTCAAGACCACCTTTAAGTTAGAAGTAGAAGGGTTCACTAAGTATAACAAACGGGGTTTTCTGAAGACCACAGGGACCGCGATTCTTAGCACTGCCGTCATACTGTTTAGGACATGAACAGTAAAATGATGCTGGCAGGTGTTGAAGTGTGCGCTGTGATGTTGTACACAGGTATTAAATGCGGGTCTGTATTTCTATCTCCACACGGCACTTCAATTCCTCTTTGCCCTCTTAAAAAAGATAAATTACGTCCCCGCCCCCTCGTCCACGTCTGGGATTTTCAACACATCTCTCTCATCGTGTGCAGTTGGATGTGAAACATTTTTTTCCCTCTCCCAAGAACAGCTCTAACGACCTAATCATGCAATCAGGGCGGGAGAAGATTGCAGTGTGACCCCGGACCATCCATCTGCCAGAGAGCCTTTTAATTTCATTTCCATTACGGCTGCCTTTGGAAAATAAATAAATATATTCCACCCCTAAACAAAATTAACACCCAATTTTCTCATCGAGTGTAATTAGTTAAATCAGATGAGCCCGCGGTGTCCCCAGGGAGGGGGGGCGCGAGACTAGGAGTTAAAATGAAATGATAACTACATTGAATTAATTAGCACGGGTCAATGGCGGAGATCCCCCGGGCTTCGCTGGTTTAATTTCCCGTGATATTTGAGCGCCTGTCGACCATCGATTGGGCTTGAAATTAACTTATTTTTCAATCAGCCTTCCGTTGCCCCTGGGGTCGCTTCCCCTCTCGCTTCCCCTCTGGTTTTCTTTGAATGCCAGAGAAGCAATTTTTCATCAAGAAACCCATCTCTTGTATGAGATAAGGGTTATCATCAGAATTACGAGAAAGGGTTTCAAAAACGGTTTTGATAATTTTTAATTTAATGTCTGCCTCTTCCTGCGAACCGCAGCCCCCCTCCTCTTTCCTCCAGTCTGCAATCCAAGCATCACGAAGCGCATGGATAGCTCGCTCTTAAACGCTTAGAGCTGGCTGCGTGGAAATCAATTTAGACGCTCCTTAAACTGACAGATCGCTCCAGGCTTTATCGGCTAGAAACAAGTGGCTGACACTGAGCGCTCTGCAGGTTAAACATCTAGACATGACACCGGCCATCAATTCACTTTATATCCCAGGCACAGGGGTGGGTGTCTGACAACCACAACATTCCTTTACTACTTCTGTTCACATAGAGAAATGGGCAAACACAGAAGACCGACAGATTTCTAAAAGCAATGGAATGAAAAGTTTAAAGAAACGTGTTGCAACGACAGGCAATAGCAGTTGAAGGTTTCGGAAGAGAACTGCAAGCTTTCATTTTTACGGTGCTCCTCAATAATAATGAACACACGAGAGACTGTATGACCAGCAGAAGGTAGAATGACATGATAATTACATTGAAATAATCAGCACTGTTTTACGGAGTAAAAGCAGTTCGCATTTTTACCACCAGGGCTCGCTGCCACGTATGCTATATGTACAGTATGCGCATTTCATAATATGATACGGCAACCCTGAATTGGAAGAAGCGGTTGGAGAATGGAGGGATGGGTAATCTGATAGGATTGGGAATTCGTTCTGGCACGAAAAAAAAAAAGATTTGTATAGTAATCAACTCAAAATAAACGGTTGGCAATTTATTCAGCCTTATCCTTTGTAGAAATGAGACTTCACCATAAAAATCAATGATCATGACACACTTCCCCACAGTCCACGGATGGTGGGTTTTGACCATGGCCATGATTTCCAAAGTGGTGGTGCACACTGAGGGGCTCCTCCTGAGCTACGTGAGGGTCCCTGTGTCCTGTTACACAGCAGCAACTTGTCAGGTACCTGTGGGATCACAGTGTGGCCACTGAGAGTTATTCATTTATTTGTGTTACTCTTTGACTTGAAGCCATGAATTAACATATGTGCACATTTGTATAGCTGGGCAGTTTACTGTAGTAAAGCATCTTGCTCAAGGGAACAACCGCAGAGCCCAGTGATTATAATCTTCAACCTTCCCATTACGGGCCTAAAACCTTCACCTCCGTGCTGCTGCTGCTGCAGATTAGGTGAGAGTGGTATCACTTCAGGTGTGGAGACAGGGCAGCCCTGCGCTGGTACGGGCAGTAGTAGCATTCGAGTGAAGTGAATAAGGAGATGGCAACTGTGAAACGAGGAAATGGTCATTTTAAAACACAATCTCTTCAATTCCAGAGGCCAGTGAGAAGGACGAGTATTTGAGTCCTGACTGTCAGGGCTCCAGTTGAGGGAGTCCTGTTGTTCCTGTCCTGGGCCTCACGGCCCGCAGGGTTGTTTCCTTCCTAACTGCGAAGGCCCCCAGGAGCAGCCTGAGCTCAAATCAGGGGTGTCCGAGCTGCAGGGGTTTCGATAAAGCAGATGTAGCCACACCGGGGAGGAAGCCGAGCGCGGGTGGGATGTAGACACGCCGGGACAGGCATGGTTCGGTGTTCGTGGGGGTACGGCATTCCTGACCTGCCTGGGGGCTCCTGTCCAGGTGTGGTTCCAGAACCGGCGTGCCAAGTGGAGGAAGCGCGAGAAGTGCTGGGGCCGCAGCAGCGTGATGGCGGAGTACGGGCTGTACGGCGCCATGGTCCGGCACTCCATCCCCCTGCCCGAGTCCATCCTCAAATCTGCCAAGGATGGCATCATGGACTCCTGTGCCCCCTGGCTGCTTGGTAAGAAGATCAGGCGCCATTTTGGAATTGCGTCGTCCTCCTCAGCTCTCTCTTTTTGTGCACTCTCTCTTCTGTGCTCTCCTGTCTTTATCCTTCTGTCTCTCATTCTCCACCCCATCCTCCAGCCCATCCAGGTGGCCGACCCGTCTGCAGGGGTCGCACGTAATTATCTGAACTTGCACAGCTACCACTAACCAGACAGACCACAGGAACAGGGAGCCTGGTGTGTGGAAGAAAAGCAAACCCAGTTGGCAGCTTCATTCTAGCTCTCTAGTTGTGCAGTGAAAGCACCAATCTTTGTGTATAGAACCAGATAGATGCAATCACAGAGCCTTCCATGAGATCTTAAGCTCAAGTGAAGATGCAGGAACTGCTGGACATAAATACCTTTTCCGTGCTCCATGAGCCGCATGTTTTCATGTTTTTTGAAACAGGAAAATGAATGAATTGATAGTTTAAGAGTACTACGACAGACTCTCCATGAAGTTACGAATAGTACCCTGCCACCCATAATTAATAAGAATCAGTGTGCAGATACTCTTAAACTGTGGGGTCATGAAAGAATACTGCACCACATATTTATAGTTTCTATTGCCTGGGGTTGGTTAAAATTTAGCAGGGATATAGTTTTAGTCAGTGTTTAAGAAGACTGTCTCTTCTATCTGATAACTGGTGATATGCAGCAAATCACAGTTAATCGGGTTGTCTTAGGATAATCCTTCTTTTTTGCGTAACCCATCACTCCATTGATTACAATCCAACAATGCGATGTTTTGGGTTACAAAGTGAAGCCAGTGCGTGCAGCAGTAACACGTAGTAATTTTAAAATACTCGTGCAGACTCACTTGTATTACATAGTGTGACAGGAAGCAACAGTTTTTGTGTGGGCTTCCAGGATCCAAAAAGGAAGCCACAGAGCCTTTATGACCCCAGTGCAGTCCTCCTGTGACCCCCGAGAGGGTGTTGAGCCACAGTTTGGGGATTATTGTTGACAGACTGTTCACACTTCAACACACCCTCACTGCCATCCACACCTCAATGTGGCCATAACACTGTTAGGTCAATGCTTCTGCCATGACATGACCTGACCT